AATTTTGGTGCTTTGACTGTTCAGAATTAATTTGTATCGAATGTAAAGAAAAACATTTCGGAAAATTTCATGTCATCATTCCAATGTCAGAAGCAGGAAAAGTGGATAAATCTGTCATTACAGGACCTTGCACATGTACTGACAAATGCCCTAAGAATTCTTTCTTGCACTGCAAATCCCACGATAAAATCTACTGCAAGTTGTGCGCGCCATCGATTCATAAAAGTTGCTCCGATGTCCAGAGTATTGCCAACGCTGCGACAGGATGCCAGCATAGGACATCAGTTTTAATTACTGATTTGGAATTAAGACTTGGTACTTTGAAGACGAATTATCTGCAATTAATAGAAGAACAAGAACTGAATTTAACTGATTTAAATTTTCAGAAATATCAAATCAAAGCTCAAGTTTACGATTTCTGTAAGGATATGAATGAGTATTTAAATGAATTAGAAGATAAGATTGGAAATCAGCTAGACCGTTATTACGAGCAATGTAGGGCTCAAATTTCTAAAAACATACAGGCTATCCTAGAAAGATGCAATATGCTATCATCATTGGAAAACACTCTCCATTTACTTATCACAAATTCTTCCGAATGTCGTACTTTCATTGCAGCAAAGAACATCGATCGCAAACAATGTGAAGAAGAATCTGTCTTTGAAACGTTTCAAGACTTTCTCAAGCTTTTCAAATTGTCGTTTCTCAAGGAGGAAAAAAATGACATAAATAAAGTTTTTACGACATTGGGAGAGGTTAAGCTTGAAGTAGAAGAGCAAAGAAATATGATAGACTCAAGCAGGTTTTCAGGGTTACAAATTTCAGTCCGATTACGAACGACTGCGTCTCGTCTGCATGGTTACAATTCCACAGAGTTTGATTTGGGAAAGGATGGTAAAATATATAAGAGCTGTCTGACTCCACAGAAAGTGGTTATTATGATCGGAAATAAACGCGCAGTATGGACTTACAATATAATTAGCAAAAGCAAAGAGCGCATTGATTTAAGTGATTTTCCGGTAGATGTATCTGCTATTGACGATACAACGTTTCTAGTGGCAATGGGTAAAAAGGGTGTTAGTCTTGTCAACTTGGCAACAAAAACGGTACAACATATTCTAAATTCTAATTCAAAATGTGTTGCATATCACAATGAAGTTATTTATACAGTTCATAAGAAAAAACTTGTTCTTTCAAATCTGAATGGATGGATTATAAAAGAAGAAGGTTTAGGCTTTCACGCAAATAGTATTTGTGTTGATAGTAAAGGCGAAGTGTATGTGTCTGACAATAAGCAAATTTCTAAGTTAGATTCAGTAAATTATCGAAAGGAAGTTGTTTTAGCACAGAAGGGAAATGGAACTTGTGATATTCGAGGAATTACTATTGACAAGGATGATCGAATATACTACAGTGACACAACTAATGGTGCAATCATGAGATTAAAACTCAATTCAAAAACAGCGAATGTAATCATTGAAAATTTAAAGAATCCGTTAAGCATTGCATGCGACAAAACATCTAACCAGATACTTGTCATAACCGACAGGGGAAGTAACATAGAAATATGGCAACTTTGAAAATGTAAGTACTTTCATATTGCATTATTATTGGCAAACTAACATACATAGGTTGATATTTTAAATGCAGATGTTCAACACATAGGTCAATTCTATAGTATTTCTATAAATACAAATAGAGAAGCAGCCATAATTTCAGTCCACAAGTAGTTGGACAGGAAATACGAAGGTGGTATTCTCGATATCTCAACATAATGAACTCTGAGTAAAATTTTCAAAAGCGTACACCAACATATAATGAAAATTTTAAATAATATGCGACCAATGATATGACGTCACCGCCTCAGTTGTCTTGTGATAGCGTGTTTGCATTATGTGCGGAACTTCATTGATTAAACCGAAGACTTTGAAAGGAGTGAAGTGAGTGAGAACAAAGACTGGTTAAATAGGAGTCGGAATAATGTGTTTGGGTAGGGTTCCATTGTATTATGTGGACTATTGACCCAATGTTGGCTTAGTTCAAAGCAAGATGCATATCTTCAGGAATGAAATCTTATCGTAAGGTGGGTAAGTCATCCGTTTTACATATCCAAGGTAAAATAGAAACGAAAAACAAACAATAAAAGAGGGGCGAAAGATACCAGAGGGACAGTCAAACTCACAGATCGAAAATAAACTGACAACGCCATGGCTAAAAATGAAAAAAGACAAACAGACAAATAATAGAACACAATACACAACATAGAAAACTAAAAATAAGCAACACGAACCCCACCAAAAGCTGGGGGTGTTATCAGGTGCTCTCGAAGGGTAAGCAGATCCTGCTCCACATGTGGCACCCGTAGTGTTGCCATATTATTACAAACCCGGTAAATAGTCTAATTCGGTAGGTCATATTCGTGAAAAGGGAAGGGGATTGTAGTTACGACATAAGGAACATATCCGATATCATCTGTGAAACGGTTATTCCATAACGGTCAACCAACTTGAGCCTTGAGCATTTCTGCTGAGTTTCTTTTAATGATTTAATACTACTATAATTACTATGACGTGTGTCATAACTTCAGATAGAGAGGAGTTAAAAGTATTTGAAACTGATAATTGTTTCATCTTCTCTGGTGTATCAGAAAATCTGTAGAGTGTATATATTTGAGATGATTAAGACTGTTACTCGTACCACCCAGTATACATCAATTTTTTTATTCACATGATTTGCATTTAACAAATTTTGAGTCGGCATTTCGTTTAAGTATGACAAAGATTTTGGAGACGGAGGTTACATATACACATGTTGGTCTACGCAATTTAAAATTCAGAAATAACGAAATGAATAATTAGGTAAGTCGTAAAATTCAATAAGCTTACAGTTGTTCAAAAGACATTTATACTAATTATGTTTACTGAAGATCTAGCCCATAGCTGATAGACAGATTAACTTTTTGATAATTAATTTTGTAGATTTGCAATGTTTTCAATTCTTTCAAGAGCAAACAATATATTGGACAATTGATCAGTCAAACTAGTAACCACGACGATCATTTCAGAATTCAGCAACATTTATTAAAAACTTCAATACACATTTATATCGAATCTATTAAAATTGATAACAGGTCCTGTTTATCGGTAAGGTTTTTTGGAACTCGATATTCGCTCCTTCCAACGGTTGAACAGTTAACAGTTGAAAACATTAATAATAACATATCAGCGGTAATCTGTGATATCCATATTTGATTACAGTCAACCAACTAGTGTGACGTCCGTAAAATCCTTGGAAGTAATGATCTAACCTGTATATTACTTAAAAGATTTTGAATCCTCTATTTCAATATTCGACTTTCAGAAGAAAGAATAGGTTTTCATAGTACTTGTAATGTGCAAAATAGGTTTTTCTCTAAAAATTACTTCTTAAATCTAATATACTTTTAGAATACACGAAAGAAATGGTGTGTGATCTCTGACTGCACACATTCAAATCAATACGCTTGCTTTGCCCAAATTTAGTTTTCTTAGTAGATGTCAACAGGGCTTGCTCTGCATTCTAGTAGTTAAGTTAGGTTGTAAGAATACCAGCAAATCACTCTTTTTTATGTGACTATGGATAGAGGTCAACAGAGCTTGCTCTATCACTTTATTAATTTGTTTTGAAAGTTACAAATTATTGTTTTGTTCTTTACATCTGTTTTGCTTATCTCATATCTGCATGTACAAACTATATGCATATGTATTTTGTCTTCAATTAATATTTTTGTTTTACATTCTGCATACCGTACAAAAAATATATGACATCAAGGTATATGGTTTGTTTTTATCTTAATATATTTTATAACCTTTTATAGGTTGAATACAATAAGAAGTTGTTTAAGTTGTAATTGTTATTTATTATGCTATGGAAATGTAGGAAGGGATCAAATGAGTTTGCCTAACATTGGCATGTGTCAAACATTTAAAGGTAGAGGTCATCATGGCTTGCTCTGCTGTGTTCTAATCTTATAACCTTAATATCGAGACATTGAGTAATGCTTTATATTATACACATATTATTTTTTCTCTTTGTCATTTTAAGGTCGTCCTTAAATTGAATGAAATGATTGCAATTGGACGTTAAGAAATCAAGCATTTATTTATATAAATCAATTAAGCGTTTATAAGATTTATCTTCAAGGTTTCTTGGGTGGAGAAAGAAAAATTTGGCTGACAAAAAAAAAACATTTTATGGTATATAAAAACATTTTTGTCAGATAATGATTCTTATCACGAGTAAAATGAAACTGTAAATTTGCATGGGGTTGTCTGTGAATTATGTACGTTTTTGATTACAGGCAGTTAAGGTCAGTATGGTCATCTCACAATCAGGGTCAAGATTAATTACTTGTATGATTGTTTAATGATATTTAATTGATAATTGAGGATTAGGTGCATGTCATTTCTTCAATTATGTTTAGATAAGCCAGCATTCTTGCAATTGTACTGAATGCTAGCGGACGCCATTTTTGTTTTTCTCAAGAAAAGTGAAGATTTTTTAATTTCCCACCCATCTACTCTCTTGATTCTTAAACAGATTTATAGTTATAGGTATTATTTTTTAAATTACAAATTTTGAATTTCATATGATGATGATTTCAATCTTTTATTGTACAATATTTGTTTGTTTATACATTTTGTAAATTGTTTATGGAGGGTGGCGGTATTATTCCCCACCTTTGCATATTATTATCATTTATTCAGTTTTGGTTTATTCCATAATTGTTCAAAACATTCAGTTATATTATGTTTTTATGTTTTCTGAATACACGACCTTTATCGCAAACCTTGTGTTAGAAATTTTGCAAATGAACTGGAATCCTTGGAGTATTTTCTTCTCATGTCATCAGTTTAAAAGAAAAATTTAGCTGACAAAAATACAACTTCATTATTTATTTTGCCTATTTAACTTTTTTAATCGAGCGTGGCTGAGTTGAAATAAAGTGCGTGTATCATTATAAGTTAAATATTTAAAGATTTATAATCTTTCACCATTTTAAGTGTACAAATGTCACGTGAATTATAATCTTTAACATCATTAAAACAGTGTAGCAATTCATTATTTGAAAAGGAAGCAATATTCAAAATATGTGGAAGTGACTCTGCAAGGATGACTATTAAAACTTTACGGACAATATTCATCTTTCTACATTACCTTATAATTCAAGGGTTGTCGTATAATTATGTTGAAGAAGACATGAATTCATTGTTTAACAGAACTGATCTGACATGTCCAATGACATGTAACAATCAAAGGTTTACATTTGATCAGATGTCTTGTTGTATTTGCAATTCCAACTCGGATATTGAAAACTTGACAAATTTATCAGTTGTATACAAAGAAGGTCAGTATAATTCTACAATTGTGAATCCTGGAAATAAACATGAACTTTATTCGCTGTACCATCGATATGGCAATCTAACATTTTTACCCATTAACATTTGTAACTTTAATGGATTGTTTATTATTGATTTTTCTTTCAACAAGATTAAGAGCATAGATGAAATTTTGTGTTTGACAAACTTGGATACTCTTTTGCTACGCGGGAACAATGTTCACTATTTAAAAAATAACACATTTTTGCAAATGAAGTTCATTCGTATAATTGATTTATCATTTAATAAAATCAATTCAATGGACCCTGGATTTCTCTTAAACATGAACGGAAGTTTATTTTATCTAAGCTTAGCCTTCAACAATATGTCAACTCTGGATGTCACAAATGCGTTGGCATCTAAACAACAGTATTTTTGTCTAGTAGATTACTCCCACAATGCAATAAAATCAATAACAAATGAACTATCATGGAAATTTAGAACCAATACATCCCTTGGAAATGGAGGAATGGTGGATGCGTCAAATAATTCACTTTCATCGTTTTTTAATGCCAAAGCATTGCGTTTCCTCGGCTTTGAAAACCCTCTATTTATTGGAAGATTGTTTTCTTATGGATTTGACGGTAGAGATAATAAATGGAATTGTGATTGTAATATTTATCCATTTGCAATTGCAGCAGAACGCCTTGCGCCTACAATGACGCGAGATTACTTCGACGTTAAATGTTTTACCCCATATAGTTTAAAGGATATGTCGATATTTACAATCATCAAAGAACGCCGATATGATGGTTTAATTTGTAATTTGTCTTTAGCAGAAAAATGTCCGCCTAGATGCCGCTGTATATATCAACCAGCTATCAGAAATAGGACTGTGATTGAGTGTTCTTCATCGAATCTTACACAGTTTCCAAGCGTACTCCCTCATTACAAAGTGTTAGAGGTTGATTTATCAAATAACTACTTACAAAATCTGCAAATTCAGTTCGGACATGAAGATTACTATGACCGTATAAGTTTATTAAACGTTTCAAACAACAAAATTCATGTATTACCACCCTTACATTTGTTTCGTTTAAGGACAGCGGACATAGATTTAAGAGGAAACAATATTTATTCATTACACAGATCTATTGGGGAACTTAACCCTTGCAACATTTATCTGGACACTATAATAATGCAATGCACATGTAAAGATATTTGGTTGCAACAATGGCTTCCGAAGAGTGACTCTAAATGTAACAAAAATGTACAAGTGTTGTGTCGTTTCAAAGGACAATTAATTCCCATACAGAATATGACAAAGAAATACCTTGGATGTAGAATACCGGATACTAATGTTATATGGATAAGTACAGTTATCGTTGTAGCGTTCATTACTGTCGTTTTAGTGTCAGCAAGTATATTTTCCTTTCGATTCGAGATATTTATAATTGGACGGAAATTCATAAAATATTTCAGGGGAACTTCTTATCCTTTGACATTGTTTTACGATGTATATATTGCGTGCGATGAAGAAGATGAAAAGATTCGTCTGTGGCTGAAAACGCATTTACTGCCTACTCTAGAGGTGACCAACATGCTAAGGGTGTTTTGGCCCTGCAGAGATAGTGAAATAGGAGTACCTCGCGAAGAGGAAATGATACATGTGATGTCCCATACTCAAACCTTTATCATCATTTTGAGTGAAGAGTATAAAGGACCTGTTCGTTGGAATGAAAGAGAATGGAAACATGCCTGGCACAATTATACACATGATCTGAACAGGGAAATTATTATTGTTAATTACGATCTACTGGAAGCAAATGAAATCGCAAAGCAATATTTGGGAGCCTTTCTCCGAATTGGACAATTTATTGATTTTTCTAATCACAAGAAGTCTATAGAGGACGAAATAGCCTCCTTATTTACAAAACAAGATAAAAAGTCAAAAAAACTCGCTAGAAAAAAATGTTCTCATTCCCAAATAGATGACGAAAAATTCCCATTTCTTAAACAATATCCTTTATATTCAGAGTTTCGATGTAAGACATAGCAGATATACATTTGATGTTGTATAAATTTATCCTTGATATATCATATGATATGTATCAATAATTATAAACCTTTTTCTAAAAGTTCTTTCTCCAATTCTGTTTCAGGAGACATGTTTTTTAATTTAATGTTTGCATTAAACTTGGGTTTTTTCCAAATGATAAATAGGTTCAGTGCAACAGGAAGACTTCCTGGTCTATTTTTAAATGGTTAAGTACTCCAAAAAAGTTTAAATTGCGTAAAGTGAGTTATTATATTGCATGTAAATATTTGAAATAATGAAATCCATAGCTGTTAAAATTAACAAGTACATAACAAAATTGTAAATAAGGCCCTTCTTGGCTGTACCTGTTTATCATCGTTCATAGATTTTTGCAATGTTAACATTTGTAAATAAACTCATTAAAATTTGGTACGCCATTAGTGCGTTTCATCGAAAGACTCATCAGTGACGCTCGAATCAAAAAAGTAAAATAGGTAAAAAAAAGTACGAAGTTGTGGAGCTTTGAGAACCTACAATTCCGCAAGGTTTTGCCAAATACATCTAAGGTAATCTATGTAGTTGTTTTAAAAAAAAACAAAACAAAAACACATAAAAGGTAAGACTGAGTTACACGAACCACACCAAAAACCGTAGTTATCTAGATTTCAATTTTTAAAGGGAAACTCCATACTAAAATTTACGTGTGTGTATTGATGTCATAGATTTTAACGATTGTAATCAATGCATTACTGGTAAATTATTAAGTCAGGGATTTCGTTACCATAAATTGATTAAAACTTTTACTAAATTCTTTCATAGATACACAGATTTGATTAGTAAATTTGGCTGTACCTGTAGAAAACTGATTAAATACGGTATTTCACATCCTAAATTTTACGGTAATATTGTACTAAAAGCACGGTAATCACTATGTGATCCATGATAACTCATCGAACCTTTAAACAAACTTATAAGTAAAGGTTATCTTACCATTGTTGTAATTAGACCTTTGAATATAGTTTACATTGGCACAAATATCGATTTTGTCATCAGCAAATTAAACCATAACTAAATTTGTATTCTTTTCAAACGGTTTTTTGGGATGTATAAATACACATCCACGTTTATTTTCTATATAGAGATTACTCTATCTATATATTACATTATACATATTTATTAACAGGTTAACTCCTTACTATTCTACTGCCTGTCGATACTTTCATTTTGGGATTGCACAAGTCATGTCTTCCTTGACTGTCCATGACGTGAAAACACTAAATCCCTGCGATGTGTTTTAGTTGATTTTAGTCTCTGATGCATGATTTTTTTTATTATTAATTGTTTTTTGCTTTTAACAAGCTTTCAGTAACCGCGAGTAGTCTCAAATCGTATTTTCGTGTTAATTTGACCTGTTGATACAATTTGTAAAGTATTTTTGTTATTTAATGTTTACTTATTCAGTGTTATATCTAGTCTCACTATTTTTTAATATAAACCACCTTTGATAAGTGTTTACTATGACGATAAATTTTCACTTTTGTTCTCGTACTAGGAACAACCAAATTTTTTATTTTGTAAAAAATTATTTCCGTGATCCATGTATACCTTACAACAAAATTATTTTTATTTACGTGTGTACGTTTTTTTATTTGGCGGCATTTTGTCCAAGGTTATGGTTATCTTTCTGATATTGTTTTAAATCTAACACCCTTGTTTTATTAATTTTGTATTTACATTATGTCATAGATCAAATTTATTCGTTCAGTGTATGTTCACAGTTAAGCCATTTCAATTGATATTTTATAGTGTGTCTTTCTATGTTGTGATGTTACACTATTGTTTCAGATAGGGTGAAGGTTAGCGCCTATTAAAACGTTTAAACCCGCTCCATTTGTTTGCACCTGTCCTAAGTCAGGAACCTGATGTTCAGTAGTTGTCGTTTGTTGATGTGGTTTATAAGTGTTTCTCGTTTCTCGTTTTTTATATAGACTAGACCGTTGGTTTTCCTGTTTGAATGGTTTTACACTAGTAATTTTTGGGGCCCCTTATAACTTGCTGTTCGGTGTGAGCCAAGGCTCCATGTTGAAGGCCGTACTTTGACCTATAATGGTTTACTTGTACAAATTGTGACTTGGATGGAGAGTTGTCTCATTGGCACTCATACCACATCTTCTTATATTTATATAAGATACTCATTTAAGTTCATTTTTTATTTATTTAAAACAAATGTAACAAGGATGATCGATTTTTATTTCATTTTTCTATATTTTTTTAAAATGTGTCATTTGTTAGTTGAAAAAATACATCAAGTACCGATACCTTATCCCGGGATGGTTAACACTAGTAAATAACACCCTTATGCACAGCTGGTACATACAATATCACATACTTACAAAATTTATATACGATGTCTAAAATGTGATATGTGTGATTTTAAACATTTAAAAAAGTGGAATATTAAAACAATAATTCGCTATTTGATTATTTCAATTATTATGTCCAAATTTGAAAAAAAGACCAATTGCAGATATATTATTGGCTTGCAAGTCAATAATTCAATCCACTTGAATCCGTATGAATGCTACCTTTACTTTGATTCCCGGTAATGTATGTGCTAAACATGTTCAGTTTAAAAAGAAAGGAATGTCAACATTGAAAGTGAAAGAAGGGAGCCACAAGGAGAAACCATTTCGGTGCCTGATTCGTCACACAAAAATCATTTAAATACAGGTAAAACGATAATTTACTTTAAAAATGCAAACAAATCTAAAACATGAGATCAAATAGACCTAGAATTATCGTCATTACACAATAGCAAATGCTTATCGGTCTATTTATATTCTTGTTTATATCAAGTCGTTAGACCGTCAGCAGTCCTCGCAGGTCATCTCGATGGCTAGTTAGATGGCCTCTAGTTTAAAATACGCACGAAATTATAATATTCTATATATATGTGTGAATAATGCAATGAAATAGAAAATAAAACAACGCATACCTCTCAACACAATTTTAATGCGATATTATACGAATTTGTAGCGTTCACGTAACGAAAAGACCTTCAGCTTGAGAGTAACTGTTTTCATTCGAATGACGTCTTGTTTTGACATGACGTTACTGCGCCAAGATCATTCATGGAATTCCGCGGAATTTTATTCTAGTTTGATTTTATACATTTTACCATGCTCCCATAAATTCATTTTTTTATGCATAATAATGTGAAAAACGGTTCTTTAGTTTTAATTTCAATTATTATACAGCAAAATCGATCTTGAGTTTGTACATAGGTTACAATACATGTGGATAAACGTGCGAAGTAAATTGAAACAGCCTTTAAGTTGATACTTAACACTACAGGGAGAAAACTCTGTGAAAATCAACCGAACGTTTTAATCACGTTCGATTGTTAAGGAAATACTAAGCTTCTCAATGATCAAAATTAGTGTCTGTCAAACTGCTATATATCGAATGAAATATTTACGACAAAGTGTGTGGTTCAAGTGTTTTTGAAACTTTTATATTTTTGTCAAAGGGTAAAAGTAAATATTTTGTCAAAATTTTATGAAAATTAAACGAGCCAAATTATTTTTAGTCAAGGTTTTTGGTATCACCTTAACATTTAAAGGAGTAGATCCGATAAGGGCCGATTTTGGCCTCAAAATTCAGGTCCAGCTGATGAAAGATTTTGGACACTTTTTAAACACTTAAGTGTCTACTTCAGTCGATTCAATTAGTTTATGTGAAAGATTTGAACTAATTTAGTCATTAAAGACGCTCAAATTCAAGCTTGCATATGAAAAATCTATCAAATATGCCATAATATGTCACTTTTCAGATGGTTTTTGTCAAAAATGAAAGTGGCCGCATCCGTGTTCATTCTCAACCTTTAAATATGTTATTTATTATCATCAAATACAACTTACATTTAAATATTAAGAATGAACACAAATGTGGCCACTTCCATTTCAGACAGAAACCGTCTAAAAAGTAACCAAAATGTGAAAATTTCGAAGATTTCAGTAATTTAGCATGACTTAATGATGCTAGTACCCGATACATGTGCATTGTATTGTCAAAAACAGCACATATTTATGTAACAGAAGTATTTCTCTTTCCAATAAATAGCTAAAAATTTACATTTTAACAATTTTGTAAAACTGCTATATTGTGGGGCCAAAAAGGGGTCTTACTGGGCCTACTCCTTTCTGAGTCTACGCCAAGTACAGATATATCGAGAATTTTATCACGCTGTTGTTTACAAAGCAAAAGAAGCACTTCGTATTAGAATAAGTTATAATCGTGGCAAACATCGTATAATTTAGTTGGCCTTTGGTGCCGCTTGTGTGTCTTTTGTGGACACGGCGCGCGTCTCGCGTACAAAAGTTTAATCCTGATATATATGACGAGTTTATATTTGATTAAGAGAAGATGTAAAGTATACGAATATGATAAATGAAAAATAAAAACTGCCCTAATTAATACAAGATGCAAAAATTTAGCAACAACATAATAGATTTGAAAATGACGACAACATATGAGAATAGAATGCGACAACCAAGAGCATCGTGATATAGATAATCTGATTTAAACGGTATAAAATATTATGGATACTAAAGTACAATAAATAATTATGAATTATAGATAAAAGAGAATGCTCGATGTTACAGAGAGGGTGTTAAAGTCCATACTTAACCTGTTGATAAGACTTCATATCATTTATATATTTTTTATAGCGGTGAATGAATATCAGTCGGTTTTATTAAGGCATATAGTGGTCATAACAGAATACAGAGTCATGTTTATGTTGTAACTATCGGTCTTCATTGCAATTGGGTTTACATTTTGTTGTCGTCGAATATAAATTTCTAATAACTCTCAGATGAAAGACAGCAACGAATGCATACATAGTTTGTAGTAATATAATTATATTATTTGAGGCGGGTTTACCTGTGAAAAAAAATAACTGAATAAGTAGAGAAGAGAAAGTATAACAGCAATTACATCAATCGCTAACAATAGTTGAGTGTAAAATGATGTCAACCTTTCACTTTAAATCTCGACCCATTGAAGAACAAAAGTACAGTAACATCATTCCAATGTCAGAAGCAGAAAATTTGGATAAATTTGTTTTAACAGTACCTTGCACATGTGACAACAAATGCTCTAAAAATTCTTTCTGGCACTGCAAATCCCACGATGAAATTTATTGCCCATTGTGCATGGCAAAAAATCAAATTAAGTCCAGCGTATTAAGATAGCTGCAAAAGGATGCCATCATGGTTCATCAGAACTAATTACTAATTTGGAATAAAAAATTACTGATTGGACGGAAAATTATCTGCAATTAATAGACGAGCAGGAACTAAATTTAACCGATTCAAATTTTCAGACTAAATCTAATAAAAACTCAGATAAGCGATTTCCGTAAGGATATAAATGAGTATTTAAATGAATTAGAAATTAAAATTGGAAATCAGCTAGACCGTTCTTACGAGCAATGTAGAACTCAAATGACTAAACACATAAATACTATCCAACAGAGATCCAACATGCTATCATCATTGGAGAACACTCTTCGTTTACTAATAGAACATGCTTCCGAATGTTGCACTTTCATTGCAGCGAAAAACATCAATCGCATACAAGGTGAAGATGACTCTTTTTTTGAAACGTTTCAAGAAGGACTTAAGAATTTCAATTTGTCGTTTTCCGGAGGAAAGACAATTGATGATCTGAAAAAAGTATTTAAGACATTAGAAGTTAAGCTTGAGGTAAAGGAGCGAAATAAGTTAGATTCAAGAAGATATACAGGGTTACAAAATTCAGTCCGATTACAAACGGCAGCATATCGTCTCTATGGTTTCGATTGCAAAGAATTTGATTTGGGGAGGATAGTAGAATATATAAGAGCTGTTGGACCCCGAAGAGATATATTATAATGGTAGGTAATGAACGCGCTGTATTGACTTACAATGTCAATAGAAAAAGTAAAGGGCGCATTGATTTGGGTGATTTCCCTGAAGATGTATATGGCGTTGATGATAAAACATTCCTAGTGGCAATGGGTAAAAATGGCCTTAGTCTTGTCAACATGACAACAACAAGGGAACAACATATCTTAAAGTCGTTTTCAGATTGTGTTTCATATCCCAATGACGTTATATATACAGTTGATAAGAAAAAACTTGTTCTTTCAAAGGTAAATGGATCGAGTAAGAAAATAAAAAGTATAGGCTTTCACGCAAATATCATTTGTGTTAATAGTAAAGGCGATGTGTATGTGTCTGATAATAAGCAAACTTGTAAGTTAGATTCAAAAAGTTATCAAAAGGAAGTTGTTTTAGCGGAGAAGGCGAATGGAAGCTGTGATATTAGAGGTATTACTATTGACAAGGATGATCAATTATACTACAGTGACAAAACAAATGGACTAATCATGAGATTAAAACATAATTCGAAAAAAAGCCAATGTAATAATTGGAAATTTACAGAATCCGTTAGGCATTGCTTGTGACAGTATAACTAACGAGATACTTGTCATTAACGACAGGGGTAGTATCATAGAAATATGGCAACTCTGAAAGTGTAAGTATTTTCATAGTGTATTATTATTGACATACTGAGGTGATATTTCAAATACATATGTCAAAGCAACCATTCTCCCTTGAATTCAAAAGAAGTGAGACAAGACAGTATGAACATACGACAATATTATTCACCGCATCTGAATATAACGGGGTAATATTTCGAATTCGTATACCAAAATGCTGTGAACTCATTACACAATTAAAATTCGCGACCAATGACACATCGTTAAAAGCCTCGGTGGTCTCGTGGTAGCGTGTTCGCCCTGAGTGCTGGAGGTAATGGGTTCGAACCCCGACCGGGTCAAAACAAAGACTGTAAAATAGGTATTTGCTTCTTTTCTGATAAGCGAGCGGCATTAGGAAGTGAATGCAAAGACCAGTCAGCTCGGAATATGAATAATTTGTGCAGGTTGGATTACATGTCATCCTGCGGACTGTTGTTTTTTGAACTAGCACGTAAAAAAATCGGTTTAGCGTGTCGGTATAGTGCATTAGAGCGTTGATATTCATATCGAACTAACATATTTACGTCCTGAATATGCATTTAATTTGACAGTGGACGTTTAACAGCCATCTGTCCATCCATCCAACATTACGTTATTTTCATTAGGGGACGATTAATGAATCACCCATAGTTCTTTATAGTCTTAAACGGCGAAATTGAAACACGGTGAAAACGAAACAAAGCCGATGTTGAACAATGTTCACCTCTACAATTGACAAAACACACTTTAATGATGGTTATCTTCAGTAATGAACAGCTGCTGATACCTCATGGTAAGGTCGTTTAGTCATCCATTTCTTATAACTAAGGTAAAAATAGGAACGACAAATAAAAATTAACGACAGTTAGCTTATTTCAAAATTTAATAGAAATCAACTGACTTATTCT